TTCTTCTAATCCATCCCCATCTCCTCCGGCTGGATTAGCTGTAGGTTCTTCACCTTCGACCTCTTTGTCCAATGATGACGAGGAAGATGATTATGATCTTACGCCTAGCGGTATCATGGAGTCTATAGCTTCTGTTTTCACCTACTTCACGTTCGTTAATCCCTTGCATTACGGTTTCTTCAGCATAGCCGCTGCACCTTTCACTGCTATGGCAGCTGGTGTCCTGGGTATAGCTACCTTTATTTACCCTTGGTTATTCCCCAGCTCCTTTGGTTTTAGGTCTAATAACGACGTGGTGGATAGTCTTTGGACGAATCTTGAAGAGGTGGTCAAACAGTCGATGCATAAATATGGGGGGTTGAACGAGTGGAAGAGCAAGAGGAAGAAGAGAAAGAGATGAAGATTATGATGTTCTTTATCTTCCTCTTCCTCTTGGGTGGATGGTGGTTGTTGGAATTCTGAGAAAAGTACAAGTGGTTGAGGGAAATGATACGGGTGGAATCTACGGGGTGATTCAATTTTGGTGACATTTTTATTCTTCATGAATTTCAACCCCTTAGAAGTTGAATGGTTCATGAAGAACTTCCTTTAAATTCTAAGACAATTTTTGAACACCATTACTGAAGCTCTCTGTATATATACATATATTTTTTATTAGATTAGAACTTAAAATTTTAAGATTCTATTTATTTTATTTATTATTTGAAAGGTAAGGGGGTATATAGTAGAGAATATAGTTTCTAGATGATAAATAATCTTAACCTCGCCAGCAGTAGCTTTAATAATAATACTAGTAAGTATAAACTGATTAATTTAGCAGAGACAGAAGAACAGTATTACGAATCCACGTTGTAACATTAATATTTATAAGATAATTAAACTATTTCATGCCGTGAATCTTAAGATAATCTTAGGGCATTAATAGCGTTTGTGCCAATAAATTGTAATTGAAATAAACCATTCAAACGAACAAATTTGTATTTTCTTTTATTGTTATATTAGTTTATTATCATATTAGAATAGATTCGTTCCCCTCTTCCCAACCATCCCAAAAGTGTCCTATATAATTAAAAAAAATAATCAATATCCGAGTATGTTTAAATTTTGACATACGTACAAAGGTAAGGACTAATTGTCAAAATTCACCCATAGTTTAAATTCTAATTTCAACTAAACTTGCAAGATTTTTCAAATAATGACGATTAAAATGGTGAATTTTCTTTCAGTTCGCAAGTGAACGGCACGCATCGCCATCTCAAAGACCTGCAGAACATCGACCAATCATTAAGAACAATGGCTACTCAGTTGCTGAACGTGACCAACTCTGAAGAGCCAGCCAAGGTTCTCGACAACACCATCAAGAAACCCATCAATCAGAAACCAACTGATGGAGCTGCAAAAGAAGTGATTCCATCCACTAACGTCCAGTCAACGAACATTGGATTCGGTAGACCCATCAACTCAAAGTTTGGCTATTTCGAATCCAGTCACCCTGGTCAGGCGATGGCCATGACCGAAGAGGAATTAGAACGAGAGATGAGTTCAACGCGTCTGATGGTTGCCCACAAGAACTACCCAACGACCACGGGTGGAATATCAACGTGGATCCTGCTGAATCCTCCGTCCACCACAGTGAAACCCACAGAGGTGGACAAGAAGACGAAGCAGCCGTTCGAGAATGAAGTACGAGTTGTTGAGAAGCCAACAACCGTGATGGAGAGAGTGGAGACCACAGAAAGGGTGACAGACAAGTCAACGTTACCTGTCATCACCACTTTGGTCATGGATGAACCTTCCACCACAAAGAAGTCTATCTCTGTAACCACGAAGAAGACTCTAGAGACGAAGCCAGAGAAGATTCACAGTCAACAGAAGGAAGAATCTCTTCAGAACACCACCTCCAAGGTTCCTCAGACTACAATGAGTAATTTGGAGGGGAAGGAAGTTGTCACTACTACGACTAAGAAGATTCAGCATGTAAGGACAACGCCCAAACCCAAGATTGCTACCATGAAGACCACTGTGCTGTCGAAGCCTTCGGGTCCAAAGACGTCTAGGCCTAACCAGCAGGCCAGACCAAAGCCTCCGAACAGGAGGACCACCACTGTGAAGCCAGAGATCACGAAGACTGATAACTCGACTACTGGGAAGATCGAGAAGGTTACCTTCAGGCCCATCCAAATGATCACTATCCCGAAGACCAAAGTGGAGAGCACTGAGAAGCCAATGTTCGTCACCAAGATCAAAGCCTCGGTGCTGATGGACACCCAGAAGACCACCACTGCGTCTTCGATGTCTTCCACAACTAGTTTTGATGTAACTGCTACCTCGAAGGCCGCCGCCCCCAGTGTGGAGCTCGTCGAGGTAACAGTGAAGCCTAAACCAGGTGGTACCAAGGTGAACAACGTGTTAAAGGTGCAGCTGAAGAAACCTCCTGTGGAGGAGACGACGAAGTTCGAGGTGCAACCTGTCAAGGTCAATACACCTGTGTTGAAGATCGAGAAGGTAGATAAACAGGACACGAAGGAAGAGATTAAGAATGATAGTCTGGATAATACCAGGATAGACTTGATGAAGTTTGATTTCAATCCTGAGTTGACGAAGATCAACAAGGACATTGAAAGCACCTCTTCGTCGTCTACGACCACGACAACTTCGACGACCACTTCGACCACCAAGAGACCTAGGAATAATTCGAAGAGGAAGAAGAACAAGGTTAGACGACGTAAGCCATCCACTCCTGCTACTTCCACGACCACAGTCTCTTCAACAACTTTAGTATCAACGGAGAATGATTTGATACTCGAAGACTCAGTTGCTGAAAATGGAATCCAGGAGTCCAAGATCGCCCCAGAGACCAAGGTATCTACTAACTCCACAAAGACGAAGAAGAAACCACCTTCTCCAGCCTTTGGCATGCAGATATACAATTTCTTGAGTCGCGAAGTGATGCCCAGCTTCGGTGTGATGTCTCTGGTGGGACTTGGCCTAGGTTTAGCCTCCTACTTCCTCTATCCCTTCGGAGGGACCATTGCCAGAAGAAACTACGAAGTCGAGCCAAAATATAAATACAATTTTGACGAGTATGGGGGAAACTATGGGCAAAGTGAAGAGGAGGTTCTGGCTAAGGTTCTTCAAGGCATGACACCCGAAGACAATAAGTATCCTGGCTCCAAGGACTACGACAATAATTACTATCGGTACCAACAGTACGACACTGGTTATGATCCTCAGACGACTAAGAAGAACGACCAGAGACACCCATCTTCATCTCCAGTTTATAGACCAGAGAATTCAGCTTCCATCTTGAAGTACAGAAACACCGATTACAGATACCCAGAGCCACAAAGTACTCCAGTTTATTATGAAAGACCTAAGCCAGCAGAGTACGTTTCTGACCCAGCCAATCGCCAGTTCGTTGTTGGAAATGTCCCTAAGGAGTATCCACCTTACAACGAGAAACACCCAGCCCAATCCACTTCAGGGCCCTTAGCCAACAGCTACGAGCCCACTGAGAGTAGCCAGCTGGTGTTCGATCACGATTCAGTACAGAATTTTAATTTCCCAATGAACCCCGTTCAGAATTACGGCCAGATTCAGACAGCCAAGCCTGAAGATACGTACGAAGAGGTGGAGATCACCCCAACTGCTGTGGCTGTCGAACATGGACCCAGATCCTTGAAGATCAAACGTTCTCCGATGGATATACTCTCGATGGGTCGTTTCAGGAGGAAGAGGGACACCGTGATTCAAGTGATTCCTTCGAAAAGGGAACTGGAAGAGGAAGAGAAGGAAGAGGATCTGAGTAACGAGATCTTCAACATCATCGATTCTGCTTTACCTGAAGAGAAGGATGATCAAACGGGTAAGAAGAAGAAGAAAGACAGCGAGCAGTTGGAGGACTTTGATACTCAAAGAAGAAATGAGAAAAATGAAGAGAGAGAGTCTACCACGAAGAGTCAGACTCTGGAGACCAGTACCATGAATGCAGACACTTCTACGGTTTCTTCAACAATTAAAGAAGATGTCGAATCTTCCACTTCGTCGACGACGAGCACAGAGGTTAATTCTGAAGATAACGTGACGAGTTCTAAGACGACTGAACAGAGCAATGTTGACACAATCGATCTGACCACGACGAAGCCACCCGAGCAGAACGGTTTCACTCTCTTCAACTTCGTGAAGAAGGTCGCTGAGATCAAGTTCAGACTTGGTTTGACGTTACTTAAACACGCCAGCGAGAGTTTCGCTAGATATCTCGGCCACGTGCAGAAGAGGATCAACGGGGAAGAGTGAAGAGGTTCCTGTAAGGAACCTAACAATGGACTGAAGCGACGGCTGCTTCGATCGTTACAATAGGTCGTCGCGACGCTTCTATTGAAGCTGAATATCGTGTCTTCGCGTCTTTCAAGAATTTTCAAAGGAATAATTTTTCTCATTGGAAGACTGTTTTAGAGAGATGGCGGTCTGGTCTTGAATACCTGAAATACCTTCCTTGTTTTTGATATTGCTGAAGGATATCTCTTCTTTTTAGGATACCTTTTATTATTCTTTTGAAATTGTTCAAAGAAATATGGTCGATGATTTCTTGGCAAATTTTTAAAATATGAAGAATTGTAAAGATTTCTTCTTTCCAAAAATAACGAAGATATTTTAACTTTTAGACTCAGACGACTCTCTTAATATTATAATACTCGAATTAACAAGAATACTCTTCACATTTTTCAGACTTGCAATTTTCTAATTTGCAACATTTGCAATTTAACTATAATTTTCTATGTAAAATTGTATTACAAATTACTCAAGACAAAACGATTGGAAATTTTAATGTAAACATTAGAAAAATAGGATTTTTCAAAGAGGGAAGAAAGGTTTTGGAGAACTTCCGACGAAAAATTCTATTTTCTTATTTATTTTCAACGTAACTCCTTTGAATTCTCGAATATCCTTCGTTGATACTTATGCTTTTATTTAAGTATTTAAGCGAACGAACGAAATGTAAAGTATATTATAAATAAACGTATAAATAAATAAATAAATAAATAGTAGATTATTATCATAATACCCTGACATATATGTAAATATATGCGTGATAAAAATTCAATGAAAATTAATATCTGATGTTTTAATCCCTATAGGAAGACGTTTGTTGGATAAATTAAAAATTATTGCTAATTATACAATATACGAGATAGCAGGTTCTTTTTCTTATGATAAAATTGCAAGTATTAATTTATAAACAAAGAGCAATGAACATGTGTATTTTAATTTGTTATTGATTAATTAATGAATCACTGATAATAATCACGAGTGTGGCAATAATTGCATTGTCTTCAGTGATAATTTCTTTTGTTTGTTATTTTGCAATAGAAATGTGTTTCCCAGACACACTATAATAGAAAATAATAATAAATCTTATCTATGAACTTACATTATAAATTCATTTTTAATATATAATTTTTGCTGCTTCAATTTCAAGTTCATTACTCGAAGTTTCAATAAAATAATTCAACTAACTTCTACGAATGGAAAAAGTAATTAAAATTGATACTTATTTTTTATACAATTACACCCAGCACTAAATAAGATTTTCAGTGTTCCTCTAAATTCTCTTCGATCATCCACCTTATTCTCACGAATTATCAAAGACTTTCTCTTTCAACATTAATTCCTCTACCTAAGCCTTGTTTCGCGGGCTCCACGTTGATTCGTGGGATCATGAATATTCATTACTGAATTATCATAATTGAGTAATCTTGATTGAGGAGCTTTTATGTCCCTCTTTCGACGGCCGAGAATCATTGGTATCATCATCGCCATAGTTGCCGGTAATATTCCTATAATAATAAATATAAATCTCTTTCAATATAATTAGCGTCTCTCTCTTAAAATCGCTGGGTCAGTTCTGATTCATGGTCTATTAAATTTCTCTAAATCTCTAATTAGAGTGAATTAATTAACCTGCACTAACGGCAGCCAAGACAGCCGAATTAGACGCTTGATTCCCGAGAGTATTTCTGATCGGTCTTTTCTTCAGGATCACCGGCAGGGTTTGTCTCTTCATCTCGTATTCCTTTTGACTCTGATCCACGCTCTTGAAGGTCTTCTCCACCTCCAGGAGACCTCCGTGCGAGGTGGTCGTGTTCGTGCCGTTGATCGACGGTAACACCGTCAACCTGACCTAGGTAAACGATATTTCATCAAGTGCCTGCCATTTTGCAAGCATAGTCAATCAAAATACAATCATCAGCTTTAATTTTTCAAAATATTATCGAGGGTTGTCCTGATTGAAATTTATAAAAGAACATTATAAAATTTCATTTTTGATCGCCATAAATTCCTATCTTTTTTTCTGATAGTAGTTAACGAGATTTAATTAAATAAACGCCTACAAACGACTCCTGCAATCATCCCCTTATGCAAGCACAGCTCGTTCAATTTTCAACAAACGCTAACTATCGTTCATTATACAAGAATTATTGCACAACATTTGAAATAAAATTTTTCAAATTCATTATAAAAATCGATAAGAACTTCTTTGATCATCTAGCCTAACCTGTCTCTTCGAAGTCATCACAGGGATCGCAGGATCGGCCTCCTCTCCCTTCACCCGAATACTCTTGCTTCCATTCTGTAACGGATTCGTGGTATCGATCTTCATCGATCTCTGTCTAGCTTTCGAGTAACCTCTGTTGGTGGACAAGAGCACCCATTGACCATCCCCATTACCAGGATAACTCTGAGGATGATTGTTGACATATTGATATTGAGAGAAGGCTGGTCTATCAGTGGAAGGTCGTAGACGATCATCAAATCTCGAGGGAAAATCATGCCAATCATTGTTATTCTCTTCTGCCTGATTCTTATCAGAGAATCTATCCAGATACTGATAACCAGGTTTCGCTGTTTGAGGCCTGTTGTTCCAAGAACTCGGGAAATTAGCTGGACGATTGTCAGTGATGATATCACTGTTGGGACGATCGGTATACTTATTCCAGGATGGTCTTTCTGGAGGCCATTTTTGAGCCTGACCTTCATCGACCTTGTCTGGGTAATAAGATGGTCGTGTCGTGGGTTTCTGCCATGGTTTCTCGTTGTTCTCTGGCCAATTTGGTTTTGGCTTCTCGTACCTAGTAATTAAATTGACAATTAGAGAAATTGTTTAATCGTGATCTTCTGAAGAGAGAAATCACCGGTGATTTCTCACCATGGTTTATTGTTTTCGTAGATTGGTCTGACAGAGTAATCCGAAGCCCAGGGTTTACCCATGCCTGGTTTCTCCCATGGTTTCACTTCCGGCCAAGGCTGTTGGGTGCTGGGTGTCGCTTGCCACTTTGAAATCTTACTCTTCGACCAGGGGATTGCTTCTAAAGTCACCCAGCCGTTTCTATCTTCGTACGAGTTTGCCCCATAGTATTTGTTCCTCTTTAGGGTGTCGTTTAGACTGTCGCTTAACTGAGGCAAACGGGGAGACGTGCTAAATACGTAGCTTCAGAAACTTTTGTTGAAAATGTCTTATTTTAAATTTTTGCCTATTCTTAGCCAATTGAATCTAATTATCAAATCTACAATCAAAGTACCTTGCATTTCATTGCAAGTAATTGTCTATCTTCAAGTTCAAGGTACAGTCTACCCAAATCTTAACTATCTGTTTAATTATCAATTAAAAAATTTGGTATCCAAATCTGATTATAATCCTTAAATTTCATCAAAGTCCCTCAATTCAAAATCAACCTTCTATCCAACTCTTCAACAAGAAATCTTGCATCCAAATCTTACCCCTGCTTCAGCCAGAGTAGCATTCGCCCCATCTTCTTCAGGTTTGGTGACCTGAGCAGAGCTGCTGCTTGTTGGCTGTGCAGTTGGGACATCCACCTCTAGTGCAAGAGCCTCGGAAGGTTTCACGACCCTGAATGGATGCTTCTGATACTTCTCGGTGCTGCTCTTTATCTTGCTAGCATACTCTTCAAGGAACTTATTCAGAACGTCCGGATTAAACGTGGACGTTTCAAAATTGTTTCTCGACTCGTCGTCGGTTCTTGGGAAATCTTTTATCATTCTTTGATCATCATCTTGAAAGTGATCTCTGGTTTCGTCGTACAATGGACTGCTCGTGGCAGCGATTGGCTGTTCGAGCACCCTCGAGTTGTCCCCTCTGGTCTTGAACAACTCGGACGCGTTCGTCCTCATCTTTACGTAGTATCTCGTGCTACACTGGCTTCCCCTCAGGGCCAAGGTCACCAGGAGCAGGTAGATCGCTCTTTTCGGCGCCATCTGAAATAAACGAGGAAAGTGTGGACTTGCACTTTCGTAACCTCTACACGTTCCTCGTCTTCCTTCGGCCAGGTGAATGCTCTACCTGTTTGTCCTCTTGGTTCACCGTTATACAGAGTGTATTAAAAATAATATAGAAATCATTGTTGATCGACACTGTATCTATTTTTAAATTGTAAATTAATATTTCTATTGTGAATGTATCTTAAATTTGACAAATAAAATATTTTTATAAAATCAGGCTTTAATTCCAATCAAATTAATTGGAAGGTCCTAATAAATTATTTTTGATGAAATAAATCACCCTAAAAAGAGTGGCTTCGCAAAGAAAATTTAAAAAAATATAAACCAACAGGTAAAACGATATGAAACTATCAATGGAACACTAAAGATATAGAAATAGGAAGTCGCGTATCGCGGCACTGACCGTTTAGTAGATCCTCCGTCCAAATTTGGCCTGGCGCCGACTTTCGATTACGCCAACACCGAGAATTCTCTTTGATCCAGTTCGTAACGTAACGGAAATCCGTTAGAAAAGCACCGAGCGAGCAATGAAGCAAAGAACGCGTCGACTTGCTCTCGACCTCGACTCTTCAAGGTCCGAGATGGCTCTGTCGCCGAGACGTTGCCCTCGTTTGCTTTTAATCCAGGTCCCCACTTCCTGGTGACTTGGTCCATTTTCCGTCCTTCTCCTAGCCTCGTGTTGCATACGTTGTTCACGCTTTGCACACCTTGGTCACCTGGAGAACGGACGCGGTCTACGTTCTTCTATTCCTATCTCGGCATCTCTCGCATCGTTTCCTCCTCCATGATAATTGTCGTCCTGGGATCGACGATTCGGCCAGAATTGGCATAGATTTTTAATAGACATTTAAATTTTTAACATAATTCGATCTTGACCGATAGCTTTATAGAGTGCTGATGCTTTGAAAGAGATTTCAGAATTCAGAGATTTCAAAATTGTAAATTTCTTGAAATTTTTAATTTAGTGCTTGATTATTCAATTTTCTTAATTGTTCAGCAGAAGTTTCCAAAATTTTCTCTGATTAATTTTAAGTCCTCGATTCTTCCAGTTTGATTTTCTGTCGTGAACCAAAGTGGTTTGATTCAGGAATTTCAAGGACCAAGGAAAAAAGAAAAAAATCTTGATTCGTGGACGATCTTCAAGGCGGATTATCATGAAAAAGTCAGGATCCGTCATGCACTAATTGCTCCAGCGTGGACAATCAACAACTACTTTACACGATGCTTTTTCTGTTTAGGTATAACGTCAAGTACTCGTCCAGCATTTTTCTGATACTTCAATAAACAATAGCTATGAATTTTTGCAGGTATCCTATGAATTACGATGATCTAAAACCTCGTTTAATAGGTGATTGATCTATGAAACCGGTTTCTCGAAGTTGACACTTACTTTCAAGTTCTTCATCGTTGATTGCAATAAATTACATTTTCCTGTGTTCAATAAACAATTAGCCTCATTTCTAATTTGTCTCATTTAACTTTGATTTATTCGTCTATAATATGATCGATCTTCAGCAACTTTCAATTTTAGAAATTACAACTTTCTGTTACTCAATATTTACGAATGAAATTTTTGTTAAACATTTTAATGACACGTAAGTGTGCCTAAGAAATTTAAACGAGAGTACTCTGCAAAATCTCGTCGAGTTCATCGCGTTTCTAATCGCAAATTGCCGGGGAACACAATCGTGGCGATTATCTTTAAATAGTAACAAGGACCTCCCATTGTTCCACAGAAAATTTATTCCATAACTCTTTCGTCGATTAAGGACAATGGGGGAGAAAAAAACAGAACTTTATCCAGCATTAGTCGATCGTGGTCAATGATCTATCGACCGAACAGTCGATCGTTTCGTGATTTTTTCGCTTTCTCGGCCCAGAAACCTGCGGTTCTTTTTTCCCTCTTTGCTGTGAAATTCCTCTTGTGAAATGCTGGTCTAACGTTTCCGTTTTACGAGCAACTTCCGATCCATGGACCATCATTTTTGCATCCTCGACCCACAAACCCATTGTGATCCTCCTTCGAGACGAGTTTCTCGTTTCATTGTTATTGAACGGAATTAAATGAAAATTAGGACTCTCTCCATGGTCCGTCAAATGTAATTTGATATACGAGCTTTCAAATGTAATTTCATGGCATAAATTATAAATTAAAATAGTTATTGATCGCATAAATTATATAAATTAAATTATTGCGGTTATCATTGACCCTCGAAATAAAAGGATCCCAATTGAATGAAATAATTTCCGCTTTACTGTTGCAACATGATTTTTCTCTTCCGATTCCGGTATGGCGGTCGGTTGGCCTACTCGAAACCAGAATTGGGTCGTTCGAGGCGTAGATAACCGCGAAAAGGAGCATCAGGATAGGTTTGTAAAAAGGAAAAAACAGAAAATGAAGAAAGAACCGACGCCTGTTGTGTGTGTATACAGGGAACGTCTACTTTCGTTGTCGGCTGACTTAAACGGAAGGGGAACACGAGCATGTAGTCCTCTGAACATGCGGTGATTTGCACGTTGTTCCTCTTCGGAGTATTGCTTTGTCGGAGAAACTGTGCGGATGATGAAGTTTTCAAGAATAAAAAGAAAAGAAGATGATGCTGCAAATAGGTCTCTCTGTGAATTACAGCTACAGGCTTCCGGACAATGAAACTAAAAAGGTTAACTAACTGTAATTCATTCAGGGTTAAAGTAACGATAAATACTGTTCAAACAAACTCTTTGCGTATGTAATCAATTACCGATGGATAACTGTAATCACCCTTAGTAATTAAAGGGTTAACCCTGAATTATTCCAAACAAACTCTTTGCGTATGTAATCAATTACCGATGGATAACTGTAATCACCCTTAGTAATTAAAGGGTTAACCCTGAATTATTCCAAATACGATCATTTCACTTTTCAAATTGGAAATTACAATATAGCTGGAAAATTGTAAATTTTTCAATTACAATTCGAAGAGAAACGAAGAGATTGAAGTCCAGCAGAAACAGGAAGTCGATGAACAACAATGCCCATCGGTTTTCTCTGGGCCAGGTAGTAAGAACAGAGGAAAAACGTTTTATTGCATCGTTTCACGGAATGTGAGCAAAGAGCAGAAAAAGGGGTGAAAAAAACTTTCTAAGACGTGTTTTATCAGCGTGCGGCGAGAGTCTGACCCTATTTTCTGACGGAGGTCAAGTGGAGGGAACTGGACGAAGGCTAGCATGTTAGATGCGAGATAAATCATTTCTACAACTTCTCTCTTTAGGCGAGCGTACAATTAGCATGTTTATTGGCACAGTGAAAATGGCGATATGTAGTATGGAACACTGTAACAATGATTATTCAAATGATACGATCATTTAGATCATCTGCTAGGTTAATGTTGATGATTTGGAAATCAGTTTAGCTTGAAATAAATTGATGACATAAAAGTTTCTCAGAATAACACTTATGATATATGAAATTAAAGCTTGAAGTCTAACGAAAATAATTACATAAAGGACTCGTGAATATTCCTCACACAAAATGGCTGGTCATTAATTATAGAGAACAATGACCGATTTCGAAAGCACTCGAAGTCCAAGAAAATTTCGTGACATAAAAGTGTTGCAAAATAACACTTATACTATATGAAATCAAAGCTTAAAGTCTGACGAAAATAATCATATATGCCACTCATTAATATCTGCAATACAAGATGTCTAGGAAAATTAATTGCGGTTGAAAGTTTTATGAATGAACCTCGGAGAAAAGTGCGAATGTAAAAAGCACGATACGCATTGGAAAACTCTGGGCGTTCGTTTTTTTCGTGAGGGTATATCAGCGTGAAAAGTGTCCCAGAATTAGACGAGAAATCTCGTTGAAAACGCGTGTCAGTCGTTGATACATCTTCGTGAGCGTTCAACGAGTCGCTCCGACACGTTCCTGACAGTAAAAACGTTTCATTATTCCGAAGTATACTTTCCTTGGAAACTGGTTGTCGATGCGTGAATATCGTCCTGACATCTAGGCTATCCCCTTTCGCGGTTGTCCTTTCTTCCTTATTTTTCCGGCCACTTTCGTTCCGACCACGCCATCGTGATCCTAACATCCTGACGATCTTAACAAAGTGGAAATTCTCGTTGTCTAACACAGCAGATGATAATATAGATTATGTATTAGAAATATTAACCTGGTGGTTGCCATTGAACTTATTGGTGACTGAGATAATTATTAATTATACAAGGTAGCAAGTGGAAAGTTTAAATTAGAAAATTTAGAAAAAAATTAGAAAAAATTAGAAGATCAGAAAAAAATAATCATATTTTGAATGATTGCAATGTTAGCCCACAGTTTTAACAGATAAATTAGAAATGACCCAGTAATCGTTAACAATGACCCATTCAAGACAATTGATTCAAAGCAAAAGTAAGTCTTAAGAAAATCCTGAAACACATGGCGGAACTAAACGAGCACTTTTGTCAACGACAATTAGAGTGAGGCCTGGCGATTAACAGACGAAATCTTCACGCTTTTTAGAAAAGCGACTCTGTCGCAAGTTAAAGGCGTCCATCCGCCAAAGCGTCTGTTTAGTCCAACAAACACGTCGCGATGGGAACGACCTCCTCCACCATCATCTCTCCTTCGAGACAATATTAAAAACCCCATCAAAATGTGCTTCGCATTGAATCTCCTAATCTTCATCCTTCTATCGCCAACAAATTTCATTCTGCAAGCAAAGAACCTTGAAGAAATTCAAAATCCTCCCAATGATGAAGAGAAATCAGCGGTGAAGTTCTTCGAGGAATCAAACGAAGATCAATTTTCCTTGGTGTCTACTACGACTACAGAGTCCACGACCACCATAGAAACTTACAGTAAGCTAACCTTCGCCATCGCTGACGACAACAACGATTCCAGAGAATTCAAACCGAGTATTCATCTTGGAGAGATCAAGGAGTCCAGGATCAGCAGTCCTTTCAACAATGTACATCATATCAGGTTTGAGAACGAGGTTGATCCAGTTTCCTATCATCAATTGAACAATCTTGGGGTGGTCTATCAACCTGCACTTCAGGCTGATCACCAGGAAGCTCTTCAAGGTTATCCAGAAAATGTTGGATCTTTGGATGAGGATAGAAGAGAAGGGTTGCAGCAAAATGTCTATGTGAAGTTCCAGGATCAGTCAGTGGATGTGCCTAAGGTTTATTATGGAGAGTTGTTGAAGAATCAGGGTCATCATCATCAATCGACTGGGAATGTAGGAGCACAGTATGATTTGATAGATCCACAAGCCTTTCAGAACCTGGAGAAGCCAGTTAATGAGCAAAATGTGAAGAATTATTTGGGGAAACCATCCAAGTTTCAGAGTGGCCCACAGAAACAAGAGCTCGAAGGATTTTCTAATAGTGATCCTTCGAGGAATCAATATTATCCTGGATATTATGATCAACAAGCTTATCAACAGAATGTTCATGATTTAGATGCATTCAAGAGGCCACATGATGGAGCTGTTTATGTTCAAGAGTCATCTTTCACCAGGACGAAGAAGTTTCCTTATCCTTTTCACCAGCCACCTGTTGGATATCATCAGGTCGAGATGGTTAATGATCATCGCACGAGTTATCCTGTTAGAGAGAGGTAAAGATTTGTATGTTTCTCTTTTCCTGCTTTCACGGTTTGCACTTTTTTCTTAGATGGGATTTTATTAGGATCTAACTTTCCTTTTCCCAATTTTTGTAGATTTTTATTATCTCTCTCCATCTTCCTCTGAATATTTCATTCTGAAAGTGGAGGTCATTTTCAAATTTTTTTTTTCCCAGTGTTTTCTCTTATTCCCAGCTTTCTTTTTAATAATTTATTTGCAAAATTTTATTGTTTACTATTTCCTTTCATTCATAAGAATTTAAAAAGTTTTCTTTTCTCAAATGGCCACATTCAGCAATAAAAGAGATTCAAACAATGAAACTCAATTACCGGAACTGTTTGGCTAATTATCCTGCTGCATTCATTTCCAGAGTTTCACCATGGAAAAAGATCCTCCATCTAATCGGCGCGTTTCTACCTATTGGCTTATTGGTTGCTGCATTGACTCCAAACATTGTAAAAGTGAATAACACGACGTAAGTACAAAGGACACTTTTATGCAGATTTCTGCATCGTTGCAGTTGCAAAATGCAACTGCATTTTGTTCCAATTCTAACTGTAAACGAATCACTGCAGGGATCCTAATATCGTTTTATCCAAATGGAGAGTAGCTGACTTGCCTGCAGAACATAAACAGGCTCGAATCAGTGAGTCATCGATCATTTGTGAAAAGAGATCAATATGCGAGGTGATCCTAACTGGTGGAGAAGCTGGATCAAACGCTTTGCAGAATATTCTTTGGAACTTGGCAACAAGGTAATTACAATCATTTTAATTCAAAATTTTTTCAATTTCTCAAACCTAATCCTACTAACAACTTTCTATTCTTTCATACAAAAACAGTTAATGAATGGTAATAAAAAATATAATTTCTGATCAAAAATAATTTCGTTAAGTATTAAAAATGCTATTTGCCATTAAGTATCAATTAACTATATTCAATCTCACATCAGTCAGCTGTTAATGTTCGTAGAATTATTACAATTACCCATCAATTTCCCGTGAAAAAGCAATTATTATTCCATGCTCCTAGGTATTTCTCTTCAACTACCCAAAACGAGTTGGAGAGAGTCATTCGAAAGTGTGAATGCTATTAAAATCATTAAAAACTATTTAAACTCTTTATCCTATCCTGAAGAAATTAACAATTTTTATACGTATAAGGATCTGAAATATCTATTTTTATAGTTAATCAGATTTTTTTTCCATTGTTAGAACATCGACCAAAATTGCAGAGGAATGTGGTCTTCAAGAAATTTTCGAGGCAGTGAAGAAAAAGGATTGCACAACCATTATTTGTTAATTTGTTTTTCAATCGTACAAACTCACAGAAATTCCCACGGTGGAAAACTGAAACCAACCAATGTTCAACTTTCTCCGAACGATCGTGTGATAAAAGTAAGGTAGAAAAACAGTCTCATAGAAACTCGACAGAAAGTAGTTGCACCTATAAACTTCAACCATATCCGCGTTACTCCCATCGAATAAGTAATCAAACATTTTCCTGTTAAAATTACGATACTCAAACATTTTGCACGTAAATGTAGTAAAATTTAATAAATTAATTTATACAATTCACAATAATTTTTTTTGTTTTAAATATTGAACCCAGAAAAATAAAACCTTTGAAAAAGATTTCATATCTTTTAAACGTATTAAAAATTACTTTTTGATGCACTCTGTGCATATTGCACATTACATTATATATAGCAATGTACTAATTACGTGAGAAAAATTGTTTAAATTAGTATAATCGATCACATGGCTCATACTGTATTGGTTGGTCGTCGGAGGCTCGATGAAAGTGACCGAAAGTTGATCGAACGTGGGCCAGACACCGGAGGATTATTCGGGAATTCTTGGTAGCCAGTCGCGTGGCCAGTTGCAGCAAGTGAAAGTAGTCACAGTGTATAAGTGGGTCGACGGTATTCTATGCCAATTCGATCCAGGAATTCATGTCCCTGCGAGGAGATACGGGTTATCGGTGACTGCAACGAGCTTTCACGCGCATCCTGACCACCCGTTGCATCTCGAAACTGGCCGAGATATCTATACCCCTATGAACCGTTGCATCTCATTTGCTAGCCTTTCTATGCCACCATTGTCTATTCTTCTATTTTCTGAATTTCTGTTTTTTCATTTTCCATACTTTCAGTTTTATATTTTCCAAAGTTCCAATTTTCCTATCTCTGTATTTTTCATTTCACTGTGAGCTATTTTCCATTTTCCATTTCTCAACTTTCTTGCACTCTATTTTCCAATTTTTCCCGAGTCCGATTTCTCTTTTCCTATATTCCTATTTTCCTATTCTTCTATTTGTCTATTATTCCTTCAACAATTCAGCACAGTGCAAAATGATTTTAAGATCCAAAGAACGATCGCAGAATGACACGCGATTTAAATATTTATTGGATAGAGAGTTCCCAATGATGGTGTCAGAAGTTCGAAATAATATCATCGACAGAACACTTGGATACATAATGTATGAATTAAAAAAAGAGAAAAATTGAGAAAGTGAAACGTGTCGCCCGCTAGTAACTCTAATTTTATTAACATTTAACAACATTCCACAATGATGTAACGAAATTCTCACCAAATATAAAGTTTCTACCATTCGTAGCTAAATTTATTCATCATTTTAATAATTTATTCCCCCTTTGACCTCTCTTCTTGAAATCAGAAACTTTGTCAGAGAAAAATACCAGATGGGGTCTCGAATTTCGGGTCGACCGAGTCTCTTCATTTTCACTTCAGGAATGCAAGAAGGACCCACATTGATCACTTCTGTCGGTCACTGTGCGATTGATTAATGACTTGGCTACTTAATTCATCCGGTGCAACACCAAATTTCTTTCCGTTTCTTGTAATTAACGCCTGTTCGCTTCATTCAGAAACACTAGCGAACTAATTAGTACACGTTACCAGTCAAAAATTTTGTAATTGGCTGCTCTCATTTCCGACTGTTAATTAACATATTCGCTCGCCATGAAATGTAGTCAAGCGGTATATAGCGTTATAAATTAAATTGAAAAATGTTTTTCCATCTAATTATTCGAGTGTATCCCATCTACGATAACGATCAGCAGAATTACAAAATAAATAAAAATTAAATTACAAATTCGTATTATCCATGAATTTATAAATAGGAATTTATTTTATCTATTTTGTGCAACAAATTTTACGTTGAACGTTCTCAAATGAGGGCAGCCAGTTGAAATGAGTTTTAATTCACAGAGGGAACACACTTGGAAAGAAAGTCCAAGCAATTACGCCTACTTTATCTCCAATTAGCTCGATCTCTTTCCTAATAAACACACTTTCGCGAAAACGTGGCTAACTTCGCGTTTACTGCACGAGATCGAACGGCAACGAAAGTGAGCCACTTTTTGTTTTTCGTGGTTCTACTTTTGCCAGTTAAACGTCATGAACGATGGATCGCTCGTAAAACGGAAGAATAGCTCGAGATTTCCGGTCACCGCGACAGATGCTGCACGCAGTTTTACCTATTTTTTCCTGTCCTCTATGAAAACTGTGCCAACGAGATGGTTTCGACTGTCGTTTCAGCGACAAAAGAATGGAAAAACACAATGCTCGATGGCCCTGATCAAAGTATCCAGGACAGGGACCTGGATCTTTTGCAGAATTTTGCAAATTTTTAAATACTAGTCACCGAAGATACACGAATATTTAAGAAAATAATTTAAAAAAGAAAGAGAGAAAAATTTCCAAAATGATTAGACCTAGATTCCAAGTTCTAACATTGACACTTTCACTCTTCATCTAACGTCAACTTTCTCCGCTAATGAAGCGTCTAATTATCACGACCCATAGTTGACCCGTCGTGAAAATAATTATCGAGGCTATAGCTTCTGTCGATCGAGGCGATAGCTAACAAAGGCGATGGTACATACCCTATACGTGGGTCGTTCGTTATGTCGTAGGCTCGTCTTCAGGTATGTCAAGGAAAACGAGTGTGCAACAGACGTCGACCGATATTGGAAAACGTTCAGACCTTCGTGGATCGTATGTGAACACAATGGGACGCGTACGTGTTCATAATTTTTAATTACACCAGTCACACGAGGACGTCGAATTCTATCGAAGGACGTCGATCTACCCACATGATACTAAATTACTATTTAGAACAAAATTTAAATATTGCCTATAAGACGATAATAAATGAAATTCTAATTTATTATAATTTGTTAAATATTTTAATGCTGAGCTTTTGGAATAGATACTAATATAATTAGTATTGTAATTAACCAGTTCATAATTAAGATATTGGCTGCCATAGTGGTCATTGACATTTCTGAATAATTAATAATAAAATGGAGAAAATAATTGAGTAGCCTAATATCCCAGTGACTGTCACAGTAGAAATACTTGTATATAGTCAGACACCCTGAAGATATTAAAAATTAATTTTTTGACAAAATGTAACTTGCTGTTTGAAATTATTACTTATCCTTGCAAATTTACAATGTTAGCCACTTGCGAGTACATCACTATATTTACAAAATACTTGAATAATTAACCAGGAATAGAAATACCCTACGTTTGCGTAAACCTTTCCTTCCTGTTTACCCAACCTGTTCATCGCCCTTGAGCAGCGAAAGTCGAGGAATTTTCTCCGCTACACGGTTCAAACTATCCCATGGGGTCGGCATTGCGCGAAATCATTTCCCGGGGATACAAAGGTCAGGTCAAAAAGGCCGCGACACGGTGGATTATTCAGGATCCAGCACTTTCTTTTTCTTGGAAATGTCGTTTTAAATGTATGCCATCAGGCGAGGATAATTCCTTCACTTTCGACGATTTTTTTGTTTCTGGATACCATGCGTGTACAAATTAGGTGGTAATTCAGATCGAACAGGGGAATCTTGTTTGCTTTCTTCTTTTTCGGTCTGATTCTGGTTCTGCAGGGGGAGAAAAAACATTGTGGCTGCTTTTACTTTAGGGAAAACGCGAAGAAGGTTTCTTGAAGAGGAGAATCAGATCGCTTTCTTTTATGGGGATACTATTGTTACATGATGTTTAGAGGTATTTTCACGAGTACTGCTTCAGCCATGGGTATCGCCATGATCATTACATGGCACTGGTATCGGTACTGCCGCGGTATTAATAAGTGTAACTGAAGATTAGCTGCCGGCAGAGGAAGAAATTACGCCGGTTGTGCATCGTCGTTGTCGTCGAGAGCCGATGGACTTTCACTGGCAGGTCCTTGAACCCGGTGTACTGGCACCTTAACCGTCTCTTCCGGTTCAGCCCCACCGGGTCGTCGTTCGTGAACTTGAAAACCGGACCACTCGCTGTCTCAAAGTTTCGCGAACTCTCGTTTCAGGTGCGTCACCCTCTTGGAAAGCACAGCTGGTTCGAGAAAGTGGTATGTCTGCTTGTAAAAATTCATTTTCTTCCTCCACCGCTTCGTTATCATTTTTCCTCAAAAATATACCGGTCTAACAATCACCCTGAAATTTATTTATTTTCTTATTCAATTTCAAGTGCTATTTCTTTTCCGCTAGATTCATCGCAGATTAGCCGAATTAGCGATGAAGAACGAGAGCAGACTAAGTGGCCGAATTCCAGCTGGAAGAGCGATTAGTTCCCCTCGAGCGGGGCTCATCGGTTCGGAAAATGTTCCGATTAATCGGCGAGGAGGACGTCGCGACGGAAGAAGGCGAAGGCGAAGGCGAGCACGGGAAGTAGGTCGTAGAGAAAGAAGTGTCGGTCCTTGGTCGGAGACACGAGGAGCCGCTGACTGAGCGCCTTCGTCAGTCTCGCGAAGATATTCCGGGAGTCAACAGGTGCGTAAGAGTGGGCCTCCTCTCTACTCGCCAAAATCTTTTTCTTCTTCTTTATACTCTTCGTTAGAATTTTTCGTTCGTGTACCATGAAGATCTGAAGAACAAATTTAAGGGATTTTTCTTTTTTTTTTTTTTCATCTTCATTGGAAATCGACGATCGAACAAAAGACACTTGAGAAATGGACAAAATACAGGTATTTATAAATATATTTCTTCTTTTTCTTTTCTTGCGTCATGTCAATTATTTAAGGATGACAATGTCCAGTTATGTTACAGTTGGAAGTAGTTTCTTTGAGAAATTGGAACAATAGGTGTATTGTTCTGTGGTTGGAGAAATTCTCTTTTATATTGCAGTTTATATTGTTTTTTTCTTACAATGTAGAATATTATTGCAGTGTGTAATTAAATAGTTTGCAGTTATCTGAACGTTAAAAGTTCAATTTTCATTCAGGATACTTTAATCTCTTCTTTTCTTCTTATGTCTAGTATTTTAATTTTTTAAATATTATTAAACGTCATCTTTGGTTTTGGTGGAGGAAAATTACAATCGTTTCCTGAATATTTTGAGGTATAATAAGCTTGATTTTGTATTGTGGATGTCAAATTGATTTATCGGTGATTCTTTATTAGGAGGCTCAATATATTTCTTCTCTATTCTCGTTTTTATCTTCACATCTTTTTTATGCAACTACAAAATGTTTTTCTTCCTGAGATCTCCTCTGATTGGATTCTTTAGTTATTAGAACACCGTTTTCCTTGGGTTACTCAACACATTCCACCAGTTTACTTTCTTGAGAAACTGTACGATTTTTGTTGAATAACATTTTAACGCGTTTGTAAAACACCTGACTCATTACCATTCACTGATACGTAACATTTTTCTATGTTGCTTTATTTCTGACTTCTGAGCAAGGAAAATCTCAAAAGAAATTCTAAATGAATTTCAATGAAAAATGCAAAAAAATTGCAAGGAAAAGTGCATTAAAAATTGCATAGAAACTGCAAGCAAAAGTGCATTAGAAACTGCATAGAAATTGCAAGGAATATTGCAACGAAAAAAATAATAAAAAATTTGCAAACGATTGCCTCCTTAATAGATAAACGCGAGGATAAAGAAGATGGACAGTAACGACGTTAATTACAATAGAATGAATGCGTGTCCGCGGGCTTTCTGGAGCGGAAATGCAATGGGACACGGATCGGGGCCATCGTAGTCCGCGTGGATCATGTACTTCCTTCGATAAAACGCACATTAATCGCTGATCGTTCATTAGTTCGGCCTATCCTACGATTTTCATGTTCCCATAAGCTCGGTAATTCAAGAATCACATCTGATTTCACGCTTCAACTAACCGTTTACGAGCTCGTACCAGCCTCAACATCCGATTCAACGGATGGAATTTCTTTTTCCTTCCTCTGCGCTGAGCCTTCAAATTGAAATGGAAATGAGACTGGTTCGCGAAATGGACTGAGGAGAATGAGCTGGGAATCGTTGATGAGTTTCGAAAGTTTATCAGGATTTGTTTGCTTTTAATTCTTCAAGAATGGTTTTTATCTTGGAATTTTTTTCTATCGCTTTATTTATGCTAGCTATTTTTTTTTAATGAAATGATTTAAAATTATTATTCTAAATTTTGGGTGGAGGATCTGGTATTGCATTTGTAATAATAATTTAGCAAAACCTTCCATTGTTTAAAAAAAAAAAAAAACCTAACAGGGTCAAGCGTTAACGATCAAAGAATACCTACGAAGGATCCTCTCTTCACTTTCTTTCACATACCTCACCGATAATGATCAACCCGAAGAAATCCCATTCATCTTCTAAAGGGTAAGAATTTCCGCGAACAATCGAACCGGTCTATATTTTATCGTCGAGCATCACTGGTTGATCGAAAGTCATTAGAATGGAAAAAGTGGATCGTCCGGTGTACCAATGTAAACGTACTTGGGGAAAGCATGTCGTTCCATTTCACTTATCCATGATGTTCGATCCTTGGTCCAGACGATCGCCTTATCACTCCTCTATTTTCTTTCGAATTTTCAATTTGCCACCAAATAAATTTCCCAGGAAAATTTCAATTCCCGAAAATCATATCTGCATAAAATTGAATTACTCGTATTTTAGTTTCTATTCCTACGAATAATAGATGCAAAGATTGATTACAGGAATCGTGAATGGTATTAAAGTACCTGAAGAGACTTCCTTCGATCTCAATGAATAATAGCTATCTTAATAATAGAAAGTATCTAGTCACACGGTTACTGCATCGCTATTTTCTAATCCCGGTAAAGAATGCTGGCAATTTCTTCCAGCTATTAAATTTCTCTCGCCACGGAATCTCTCGATTCCTTCTATCGTTTTCTGTAGTGCAACCAAAACACTTGGGGATTAAAAAGAAAAAAGATACACAAAGAACTGTTTGACAAGTTTCTCGTATCATCTACTTTATAGATAGATTGTTACTGTTATTAATTTGTCTTTCAAAGTGGGTTAAGCCTGGTCTGGTGATGGATTAGGTACTAATTAGGTATGAATCAGACTCAATTTAGGCATAGCCAAGTCTACGTTCACTGAAGTCGACCATGTAATAGGTATATAATTAATATAAGATCAGCTATGGAACTGAATTATAGACAGGTCGATGTAAAACAAATTTATCTTCGGTCTTTTTTCCAACTCTAGTTAATTATAATTAATTTTCAATCGATTTGAGATCATGTGTAAGTAGATTGAAAACTAGTTCTACAAGTTGAATCAAGTCTACAGTTTGACTAGTGTGAGTTTAAAATAGGGAAAAACTTGTTAATTAACATGTCGTGTCCCATGCAAATGTTAATGATAATTAATTACACTATCTTAGGAGTTACATGAGACATTTTCAATTCTAGTTTAGTTATAATTTAAAAAAGAATTGATTACAATTTAACTCGCTTTCACTGTATTAATTAAAATAATTTAGAAACAACATAAATTAATCACACGATGAATCTTCTTCCTTAGTGACAGCACTTGAAAAAGATTTTTAGGGTCACTTTCACTTTTCGTACGGCACCGCAGCACCGAACAAAGAATAAATTACCAACGTGAAATTCGATCGAGGAATTTCAGCATCAAAATTGTAAAACATTCGCTCTAGAAAAGTAGAATGAAACCATGACAGCATAGGAACTTGAAAAACAGAGATAAATTTAAATAAAAATTCGGACTAAGCTCGTGGACAGCATATAATTACTATAAAACTGGGTAGGAATTTATTTGAAAAACAAAATAGAGCACCCATAGACTTTTTCAAGGTCTTCTCTGCATTTCTTCTTTTCTAAATTAATTCAGAATATTTTGTTTATAATTTTTAAGTGTGTTGAAAAAATTTCCATTTGCTCCAGATAACAATGTTCCTGACCCTGCTGAGTCTGGTGCTCTCCAGCTCCAGCAGCGCGGACCTTCCAAAGCCAAGTTACACCAGAGCGATGCTAAAAGTCTCAAGAAGTCTTCCAGGTGAGACAGAAGAGTTAAAAGTGCGAACAAGCGAAGGAAACGTGGCTACTTTAATCGTCAAAAGACGAGAGAAAAGCAGTGATCATTCCGAAGATCCTCAAAGAACCAACCTTGAAGAAACAAATAAGAACATCACGTTAGACTCGTCCAGACCGACGAGGAACGAGTCAAAGACTAAAGAAGAGATCAGAAAACTCGAAGACGCTCAAATCGAGCAGCTCAGAGCAAAATTATCAGACTCTGATAATCAAAAAGGCTTCTCGAAGCCTGAGAACGTGTCTGTTAATGAGAAAATTAATATGACCAAAAATGATCAATCTACAAATGAAAAGAATATTGATTATGGTAACTGGACGCCTCTAGGCATTGATGGAAGAGCTGTGCAATTGGAAGAATCAACCACCGAGGAGTATCAAAGCTGGAAACCGCTTCAGACTGACCTGAAGACGAGCACTGAAGAGCGAATGAATTATGCAAGGTTCGATTCCACTTTTCCAGCTGGTGGACTCTTATTACCGCGACATTTTCAAGACAGATCGCAAAGGAAGTTACAGCTGAGCGAAGAAAGCGAGGAGAAGCGTTACGCGTTTCTACCTCATCAGGTTCAATCGACAAGGACGAATATCGGTGCGAATTTATCGAAGAATAGGAACGCGAAGAACGTACCAGCGGAAGTGATCGTTCGATCCGAGATAAATGTGAAATCCAGTCAGAAGAGATCACCGATGACCCTCGACAGGGATGGGACACCTGTGATCCATGGGACGAGGGTACCTGATGAACCTATGGATAAGATTCAAACTTGGCGCAACGCGAGGGTGATCAATAATAAATTGATCCCTGATCGATCGAGTGGTGAACATTTCGAAGTGTCCAGCAACTTTTATCCCACGGAGAACGCGGATAGACAGAGGTTCGAGAGGTTCTTCAAGAACGTTAATAGAAGGTAGGTTGCAGAAGAGAATGATTTATTTGACAGATTATTGCTGGAGAAATTTTATTGCAGAAGTTCTTGCTACTAACAATTACCAATTTTTAATTACTAATTACTAGTTTTGGTAATTGGTAATTACCAGTACTATCCGAAAATTATTTTTAAACAAACTTCATTCGACACAGGTATGGCAAGGACAACGAGGAAGAAGGGAAAAATGTATTCTTCGAGTGGGACCCAAAGATCTACAAGAACGAGGCCCTGAAGGCCGAAGTGTACGAACCAAGAAACGACAACTTCCGTTCCAGCACCCACAAAAGGATGCTTCATCCCGACGGAGTGACCGTGTACCCTGTGTCCCAACTCTACACCCCAGAAAGTCAAAAGATCGCCCCGGTTGCTTTGAAACCAGGTGCCAGAGCACCTGTTCTCCAGTACGCCCATCCAGAACTGGGTGTCCAACCAGCGAAGATCCTGAAGAACGAGAAAAGACGACCAGATAACTTCCCAGAGAACCAGTACTCCTTCACGGAACAGAGGCAGAAGAAGAAGTACGTCCTGAATGACAAAAACATAATCGACACATACACTACAAAGAACTACTACCCCAATCAACATTTCTACGGTCTGAAGAGACCAAACGACGCCCCATTTTGGGTGAAGATCTCAGAGAACCTGAAGAACCAATTTTCCAGCGGTGTCGAAAGGGTCTCCCAGTTCACCAGGCCAGTGATCGACCCACTGGTGGAAGCCACCCACAAGATCTCCCAGAATCTGGGCCTGTCCAAAGGCAAGGAAGCTCAGGACAAGCTGGACACCGTTGCATCCGGAGGCAGCATCCTGATCCCGGCTCTGGGACTCGTGGCTTCCGGTGCTGCTCTTGGAATCGGAGCCGTAGCAGTTGGAAGGTACCTGGACGTCGATGTCCTGAAACGATCGGGCGAAGGATTGGCAACCGAAGTGAACTACCAGAGATCCCTAAACGCTGATCAGCCATTTCTGAAGGGATTAATCGATCAGGAATCAGGAACGGTGTATCTTCTGGAGAAGATGGAGGATCCAACTATTTCGGAGCAAAAAGATAACGTGAAATCAATAAATAATGAAGATGGAGTGTTGATGATCGTCCAAGATGATCAGAAGATGACAGATGAGTCAGAAACTGGGCCCAAGGATCAAATAACGAATAACGGAAGAAGAAAACGTAGTCTGGACTACTTGGACATCTTCCAGGCAGAGGGTAACCTGAAGAATTTAGTGAGAAACAAACGTTTACAGCGAAAGGGGCCGGATTCGATCAGTGAGATCGTAGAAATTGATCTTCCAGCTCGTACAGAAGGACACATTGACATCACAGAGTTCCTTATTCCGAAGAGAACCGCTCAGAAAGAAGGACACGAAGAGGATAAGAAGAATGTTGATATTATGATCGTAGAAGATGACTCTAAGCCTTTTGAATCGATAAAGAAGTTGGCTACTGATGGTGATAAAAATAAATTAGACGTTGCATCCAGGTCAACGGAGGATGAAACGAAGAATTCCGTGGATGGGAAGAACGAAAGAAGAAAGAGGAGTCTGGAAAGCGATCAGGAACTCGAAGATGCTCTTCAGAATTTAGAAAATTCTGAAGTTGCTCAAGTGGCTCACACCGATGGCGATTGGACGAATACACCATGCGCGAAAAGATTATTCTGCGACGCCATGATTCAAAGGGGATCGGACGCGGTTACGATGATGGAGAAGAAAATGGCTGCTCTTCTGGGTCTGTGAGTATCGTTCCCATTTCACGTCCTGAGAATTGTTTTTGTCGGAGGGAAAATCCACTCGCCAAATGGGGGATGAGTTGCAAAATAACAGGAAGACTGTTGTTGCGTTCGCTAATGATATAACGACACGTTGCTCTAGTTAGCATATGGTTATGTAGCTGGCTATGTTTGGATAATGGGCTTTCGTTTTCGCGGATGAGGAAATGAACGAGGAAAACTCGTGCGAGACCGATTTGGTGTTGGAAACAAAGGAGAGTTGATTACCAACGATTTCGTTAGAGTTGGATAAATAGTGATTCTTCTGACGAAATAGAAAAATTCCATATTAGTGAATCAAAAGTGGACGATATTAATATGCTAATTAGCACACTGAAAATAATTAGATAACTTCGTTTAATTTTTAAATTAAACTTTCAAATTAACACCTTCAAATTGCAATGTCAAGTTTGAACAAATCATTTTCCATTGATTTTCTATCGACCTGCTATCCCATGGAACTTTTCTCAGCACCCATTGTGCCTCGTGACGAAGCACAGTGTACATGGTTCTGTGTACGTGTGTATGCACAAAGTGAAACTGTGCTAAGAGGTAAAAGTCGAATCAGTCAGTAGGACGTCGCCGGCGAAAGCTGGAAGAAAGTTATCTGTTTCTCGGTATGGTTCCGTCCAGACTGGTCGTAATGTTCTTTGATTTTCTTGTAGCATCCACTTAACCAGCACCGATACCTTTGTCTAGTTAACACTTCAAAAACCATCTCACATTAACATGATTTTACTACACGGATTTTTGTATTTTGAAAATTGAATTTGTATTTTTCTTTTTTAAGTTGAGAATTGAATATTCTGGTAGATCATTGTTCCTATTAAATTTCCTATGGTACGACCGACTACTAATTAGATATCCATAATTAGAATACAGTTTGGAGGTTGATGATTCAACATCGACTTTCGAATGTTCATTCGGTTTCGAGTTTCATCCAATTACCCGATCATTCCGTTAGTCATCAATTATTATCGATAGCCTCACCTTTCGAGCCTTTCTAATGAATTGCCGTCAATCATTGACGTTTGAAATCGAGTATGCTCGTGAAATTTGACTGTTGGATGTCTTTTCAGGATTCAGCCTGGAGCAGCTGCCCAGGTATCCAGCCATTTCCAACAAGTGATGGATGCGGTACGAAGACACGATTGTTCCAACTTCCTGTGTCCCCAGGCCAGGCCAGGGAACGTCTTCTTCTAGATTCAGAGCACTGATCCTAAACGTGTGCTTCCTGCGAGGAAAGGGAACCGATATTCGCCAAAACTTTGTACATATTTGCCAGCATATTTAATGCGAGATTCATTCGTAATTTAAGAAACTAGGGTTAAGTAGATGTTGAGATGAAAAATGATTAAATCAGGGTGTACCTACCCTGAAGGGTTGAAAAAGACATGAAAATCAAAAAAAAATGAGAAAGGAAAGAAAAAGTTCTGGTTATGTTCATTTTATAACTATGTGATTACTAAAGTGTTAATTTGTCATGACCCAAAATGAAGAATTTGAGTTACTCTTCAACTTTTTCTTTCTTTAAATTTAACCACCGAGTCTGATGAATTTAAAATCCATCTAGAGATTCGAAAAAACCTGTTGCGAATTTGTACTATTATTTAAGGGAAATATTTATTTAGTTTTAACTTTAGTTAAGAAGACATGTAGTATACGAAAATCAACATTGCTAATAAATGGTACGATTGTCCTTTTTCTACAGTATTTTTAACAGAACCATTTAATCATATCGTTTTATGAATTGTAAATATATTATTGAGACGGTGTAGTAAGCGAGAGTAGAATTTTGTCATGTTTTGTACACAATTTGATGTTACTGAATAAACTAATTTATACGTCAATTAGAAATGTTCATTACATATAACCCTTTCAAATAAAATAAGAAATAGTATTAAGATATACTGACCGTAAAATACAGAACCAGGGTGGTTTTCTATTCCCTTGTTATTCTTCAAATACTTCAATGCTGAAAACAAAGTAGATACAAAGTGACATCTACGAACGAGACAAGTTGGAAAGTTTATCCACCCTCGTGAACGCAAACGAACTACCAAACGACCCGTACAATTCGCTAACCACAATCAATTATTCAATGAAGACACTTATTTCAAATCGATAAAGGAAAAAAAAAAGGAAACAATTGTTCTACCTCTTACATACATCCCTTCTTAACTTTCAAACAATTTCACACAGAGGAGGGGTAGTTTCTAAATTTTTTAAATCCTCCCTTGAAACTTTCGAAGAAAAACAACTTCCACCAATCATTTGATCGTCAGTTTTGCGCGAGTGAAGAACAAATGGAAAATAATCCAGGTACCATCTTTTAATTTAACTGCTTTTTTTGAAATTAGTTAATTCTTTTATCATTTCGTTAGATTTGAAATTCGCTTTTGGATGGAATAAATGGAACATGAGCATTATCGGTCTTTGGCCCGAACCGTACACTAAGAAAAGCCATTGGGAAACTTGCAAGGCTATAATAGTTCTATTGCTTCTAATACTTTTTGGAACGGGTCCTCAAACCGCCAATTTATTTTTCATATGGGGAGACGTTGAACTGATGACTGAAAATTTGTGCTCAGCTAATATCCCCGGTATAAATGTGTTGTTGAAGATGCTGTTCTCTTGGTATCATAGAGACAGTACGTGTAATTATAATTACTTTCATTAGAAGAATATTTACCCAAAATTTTACGCTTGTTCATTTTCAAAGCCTTCGAGTCCATAATAAAAAGCTCCTACGACGACTGGAATGCTCCAAAAACGGAGGAAGAAAGGGAGACCATGATAAATAATGCTAAGGTCGGAAGATTTATATCAATTTTAGGTTCGATATTAACAGGAACAATGATGACGATGAACATCATCCTTCGATCTTTTATAATCATCACTTGTGATAAAAACGAAACGAGAGCAGACCATTTGGCCATTTATCCTGGATATTTTCCTTACGATATTCGAAAAACATCATTATGTATTTTCACTAACGTGGGTCAAGCGATTGCTGCATATATAACCACGATTGCATACACTAGTATCGATACTTTTATTGGTATATTGGTGATTCACATATGTGGGCAATTTGAGATTTTGAAAACGAAATTGGAAAGATTAATGGGAGATGAAGATTGTGGAAGAGATGCAGAACAGATTCAAAAAGAGTTGGTCTGGATTGTGAAGAGACACGAAGATTTGAACCAGTAAGTAACTTTTTTAATTGATAATAAATTAAAATTTCAGAAATCCTGCAATTTGTGCTATTATTACTGAATTTTAAATAATTTACATCGTTGGAAAATTTAATTTCATATTTCTATAGAATATAATCTATAATCATAGAAAATTTTAATTCAAGATCAGCTGCTAAAATCGAGGAATGCTTTAACATGTTATTACTCATGCAAATGTTACTCGGCACAACTCAACTCTGTTTTCAAGGTTTTATATTCTTTAGTGTAAGCCACTTAACCAGATTTCCTATAGAGAGATAAAATTTAAACAATTAATATCAGATTAATGTGAACAGATAGTGTTAAAGAATGACATCGGATTGTTAAGTGGACAAATACTGTACTTTATACTGTTTGTCCTCTTTATCCTTGTGCACATATACATTTATTGTTACATCGGCGAGAAGCTTCTCGTTCAAGCAAGTACATTCATGTATTCTTTCGTTGAAATTGAAAATGAAATTAACTTTCATTAAATTCAATTTGCAGAACAGAGAAATGAGCGTTTCTGCATACGAATCGAACTGGTTCAATGTTTCTCCATCGGAATCTAAGTGTCTTTTATTTATCATGCAAAGATCTCATCGACCCCTTCGCCTGACAGCAGGGAAATTTAGCACTTTTTCCATTGAATTATTTAGTACCGTAAATAATACCTCGATTTACTTAACTTTCCTGACAAATGTAATTTCGATTGCAAGCTATTTTTTCGTTTCAGATTTTAAAAACATCAATGGGCTATCTATCGGTTCTGCTGACAGTGGCGAGCAGCGATTGAACCACTTCGTTAGGGTAAAAAAAATGATATATAACATCTAATAATATTTTAACCCTTATCACTCCAAGAATATTACAGAGCGATTTAACGTTGACAGCATTACTGCCGGTTGAAGTGATAAGAATTAAAATGAATATTTCGAATCACTGAAAAATATTACTAATATTCAATTAATTTAGAAACATTTACCGTAGTTGTATCACACCGTAATGTTATTGTTGAAAGTTCATTTCCATAACTCAGTATACATTAAACGTTTTCCGCAAATTTTCCTTTACTTAACACCTGTAAAATGTACCCTTCTTTTCAAATAAATATTCATTGTAACACACTTCGTCTGAGGAAAGTAGACGAAAAAAAAACAAAGTTTCTCTTCTACCTCGTATTGTCAATCAGCCTATAAATAATTACGTACGACTGTATCGATGATAGACCTCGCTATAATAACACGATCGAGCTTATCGAACCTGCAATTGATGAATAATTGATCTCGAACGCACATTTTGAACGGAGCATGTGTTCGGAAGAAAAGAATATTAGAATATTTTTGAAGAAGATAATAGATTATTCGATTAACGAGAGAGGCTATTGTGATGGCGTCAATGGATTTTCAGTCAGGTAATTTTTATATAATAATTACACCTTGAAAATTAGTAGGTATGAATTGTAAAATAATTATTGAGAGAGTGTAGTAAGCAAAAGTTGAATTTTGATATGTTTTGTACACAATTTGATGTTATTGAATAAACTAATTTATACGTCAATTAGAAATGTTCATTATAATCCTTTCAAATAAAGTAAAAAATATTATTGAGATATACTGACCGTTAAATACAGAATAAGGGTGGTTTTCTATTCTTTTGTTATTCTTCAAATACTTCAATGCTGAAGGAACGTGGCAACTGCGAATGACACAAGTTGCAAAGTTTATCCACCCTCGTAAACGCAAACGAACTACCAAACGACTCGTGTAACTCACTAACCAGAATCAATTATTCAATGAACGAAACAGAGGCGTTCTCAATGCTCGATCAACTTAAACACTTCAAATCGATACACGAAAAAAAAAGGAAACAATTGTTCTACATTTTACATACGTCCCTTCTTAACTTTCAAACAATTTCACACAGAGGAGGGGTGGTTTCTACATTTTTTAAATCCTCTCTTGAAACTTTCGGAGAAGAACAATTTCCACCCATCATTTGATCGTCAGTTTTGCGCGAGTGAAGAACAAATGGAAAATAATCAAGGTACCATTTTTTAATTTAACTGTTTTTTTTTATTGACACCAGTGATTGATCTTGTGATTGAAATTAGTTAATTCTTTTATCATCTCTTCAGGTTTGAAATTAGCTCTTGGATGGAATAAATGGAACATGAACATTATTGGTCTTTGGCCAGATCCATACGCTAAGAAAAGCCATCGGGAGACTTGTAAGACTCTATTAGCACTATCGGTTCCTATACTTTTTGCAACGGCTCCTCAAAATGCCAATTTATTTTTCATATGGGGAGACATTGAACTGGTGACTGAAAATTTGTCCATAGTTAATATCCCCTGTATAAATGTGATGTTGAAGTTGCTGTTCTCTTGGTATCATAGAGACAGTACGTATAATTATAATTAGTTTAATTAGAAGAATATTCACCTAAAATTTTACACTCGTTCATTTTCATAGCCTTCGGGTACATAATAAAAATCTTCTACGACGACTGGCTTGCACCAAAAACGAAAGAAGAAAAAGAGGCGATGATAAATAATGCTATGCCTGGAAGATTTATATCAATTTGGAGTTCGATATTAACATTAACGATGGAGACGGTGTACGTCAGCCTTAGATCTTTCATAATCATCACTTGTGATAAAAACGAAGAGAGAGCAGATCATTTGACTATTTTTCCTGGATATTTTCCCTATGATATTCGAAGAACATCATTTTGCATTTTCACTAACTTGGGTCAAGCGATTACTGGATATATAGCCGCGATTACATACACTAGTATCGATAGCTTTATTGGTATGTTGGTGATTCACATATGCGGGCAATTTGAGATTTTGAAAATGAAATTGGAAAAATTAATGGGAGATGAAGATTGTGGAAGAGATGCAAAACAGATTCAAAAAGAGTTGGCCTGGATTGTGAAGAGACACGAAGATTTGAGCCAGTAAGTAATTTTTTAAATTGATAATAAATAAAAATTTCAAAATTCCTAATGATGCAACATTATAATTTGTACTATTATTACTGAATTTTACATAATTTTCGACGTTGGAAAATTTAATTTTTATTTCTATAGAATTTAATCTATAATCATAGAAAATTTTAATTCAAGTTCTGCTGCCAAGATCGAGGAATGCTTCAACATGTTATTACTCATGCAAATGTTGCTTTGCACCATTGAAATCTGTTTTCAAGGTTTTATACTCTTCAATGTAAGCAACTTAATCAGATTTTCCATAGAGAGATAAAATTTAAACAATTAATATCCAATTAATGCGAACAGGTAGTGTTAAAGGATGTGAGTGGATTGTTAAGTGGACAAATGCTGTTCTTTATGCTCTCTGTGCCCTTTATCCTTGTGCACATATACATTTATTGTTACATAGGCGAGAAGCTTCTCGTTCAAGTATGTATTTATATATTCTTTCGTTGGAATTGAGAATGAAATTGAATTTCATGAAATTCAATTTGCAGAACAAAGAAATGAGCAATTCTGCATACAAATCGAACTGGTTCAATGTTTCTCCATCAGAATCTAAGTGTCTTTTATTTATCATGCAAAGATCTCATCGACCCCTTCGCTTGACAGCAGGGAAATTTAGCACTTTTTCCATTGAATTATTTAGTACCGTAAATATTACCTCGATTTACATAACTTTCCTGACAAATGTAATTTCGATTGCAAGCTATTTTTTCGTTTTAGATTTTAAAAACGTCAATGGGCTATCTATCGGTTCTGCTGACAGTGGCGAGCAGCGATTGAACCACTTCGATAGGATAAAAAAAATGATAGATAACAACTAATATATTTTCAGTGAATCAGTGAAAAATTAATTTAGAAACACTTACCGTAGTTGTATCACACCGTAATGTTATTGTTGAAAGTTCACCGAATTTCCATTTCCATAGCTCAGGAATCATTAAACGTTTTCCGCAAATTTTCCCTTACTTAACAAAATATTGCACAACAATTGGAGGAACACCCTAACTCGATAACTATCAGCTGCAAAATGTACCCTTGTTTTCAAATAAATATTCATTGCAACACACTTTGTCTGAGGAAAGTAGACGAAAAAAAGAAGTTTCTCTTCTACCTCGTATTCTCGATCAGCCTATAAATAATTACATACGACTATATCGATGATAGACCTCGCTATAATAACACGTTCGAACTTATCGAACATGGAATCGATGAATAATTGATCTCGAATGCACATTTTGAACGGAGCATGCGTTCGGAAGAAAAGAATATTAGAATATTTTTGAAGAAGATAATAGACTATTCGATTTACGGAAGGAGACCATTGTGATGGCCTCAATGGATGTTCAGTCAGGTAATTTTTATATAATAATTACACCTTGAAAATTAATAGGTAACTTCGTAAAATAAAGTGTTCAAATACAACTTTATAAATAATCTCTATTAAATATAAAAGAGAAGCTATCATAGATTTCCGTGTTAATAAGTAAGAATTAATAAAAATTAATTTTAACTAAATTTCACTATTTTGCATATTAGATTTAAAATATGTGTACAGTTGGAATCAGTACACGATGAAATTTGTTGGTATCTGGCCAGAGGAGAGAAAATGGAACCGACCATCGAGTTATCTGGTATTAATAGCAGTTTTAATGATGCTGTGCTTCATTACCATCCCGCAAACAATTAATCTCATGCTAATTTGGGGCGATATGGATTTGGTGGTGGAAAATTTATCGATGGGAAACATCACTATCACGATATCCCTTTTGAAAACGATCGCCTTTTGGACCAATGGCAAATGTAAATATTATATATCCTGACAATAATCATTTTTATACAAAAATTTTAACGATAATTTCGTTTGCAAGCATTGAAGTCTCTGCTAGAATGCATGGCCAAAGACTGGAGCACACCTATGTTAAAAAACGAGTATGAATCAATGAAGAAAATCGGGAAAATCACCAGAACGATCATCATGAGGAGCACCATAATGTGTAATACCGTAGTCACAGCCTATGGCGTTCTACGAATGTACTCCATGAAACATACCGAAAACAAATTGTTCTTCCGTGCCTATTTCCCTTACGACGTCGATTCCACCCCAAATTATCAACTGACTATGTTCGCTCAATTCCTGGCTACTATGTATGCAGCGATCACTTACACCTGTGTGGATACTTTCGTCGCTATGCTGATTTTGCATATTTGTGGACAATTGTCGAATTTGAAAGAAGAGATTAAAAAACTCTCGGTGCAGAGTGAAGAAGATTTTCAGGCCAACTTAGGGAAAATTGTTCGCAAACACCAGTACTTGAACAGGTTCGTATTTTCTTATTAATTATTTAGGAAAAAAGTTATTATAAATTCAATATAAATTTTCTCGAAGATTCGCGATGCAAGTAGAAAATTGTTTCAACATGATGCTTCTAGTTCAGATGCTCGGTTGCACCGTTCAATTGTGTTTCCAATGTTTCCAAGCTATCATGGTAAGAAGAAAAGACAATTCATTAATATATTTTTTCAAGAAAATTGAAAGATCGATGTAATTGTATTTATAGTCATTTGGCGTTGAAGAAGAGAAATACTTGATCCTTCAAATTAGTTTCCTGATAATCTATGTAATTTACGTGATGTTGCATCTGTATTTATATTGTTACGTGGGTGAAAGACTAACAGCCGAGGTTCGATTTTGTATTATTTTCGCGTTATTTAAAAAATCATTAACAATATACAAATAATTGGATATTTTTCAAAGGGTCTCGAGATAGCCAACGCGGTGTACGATTCCGAATGGTACAATTTATCAGCGAAAAATACAAAACTACTTATATTAATCATATGTAGAGCAAAAACACCGTTGCAAATCACTGCAGGAAGATTTTGCTCCTTCACTTTGGAACTCTATTTTCAGGTAAACGATCATTAATCAATTTCATTATCATTTCGATGATATATAAATGAATTTGCAGATTTTAAAAACCTCCATGGGTTACATTTCCGTTCTATGTGCGATGAAAAACTAATAGCTGAATTAATTTTGTAAATTGTACAAAAATGATAGATTAAAGTAGTATTTTAAAAAAGGAACTAAAACATTATCAAAATTTGCTATTAAGATTGCAAGCATCAATTACTACAAAATGTCGAATTGAAACTCTAATTAAAATCTAATTACCAGATATTTTTAACCAAAATTTATTATCATTAAGGTTTTTAACATTTCTGATTCTCGGATCAAGTAAAAGTTCACGTGCTTTCACCGCTTATTTCCGTCAACGAGGAAAGAAAGTGCGACGAAGCATCGGGGACCGGTTAATAAATGTTATTAACAATCGTGCGACGTTACAATAGGAGAAAAGAAAGGAGACACTGACCATCCTCGGTTTGATGCACACGGGTAAAAAGTAGCAGGCTTTACGGTTTGCTGGCAAGGTAAAACGTAGCCTTATAAAAATCACCGTCTCTCATCGGCTACGGCCTTACTCTACCTTCTTTCATTGAGAAAACACACTACTTCTCCGCTCGTTTATTTGTTTAAACTATTCTTCGAGTAAGAACGTTTTTAATATAATTGGGAAAAAATGTTGAGGATGAAATTGTTGATCGTCGTGGTATTAGTGAGTTACGGGGTTCAGGCAAGAAACGCGAATGACAATCGTGAGTTTAATAAAGAAACGAACAAGAAACATGGTGGTTCTATGTTGATGGAGATTGCAAAAGAACTGGTTCAAAGATCATCGACCAGTAGTCAGGTAAGTAAATTATAATTATTAATATTATAGAAGAAAATTAAAGACAGCCTGTATATTTTTTTATTTTACAGGTGTTGAATCTCAACTTGTCGAATTTATTGCTCTTATTAGTACTAAAAGCAGTGGTGTTTAGTGCAGGATACTTGGGGCACCATGGTTACAAAGGACGAGAATTAGAACAAGGTTTTCTACTAATTATCCTTGCAGACTAAATTTTTACTCTGATGAGTGGGATTAGATAGTAATGAAAAAATTTTGCAGAAAACGTGGTATCTGAAGGAGAGGTCGCTCTAGCTTTAGGATATTTAATTGGGGACAAGTGTTTGTACCGAGCAGCTTGCGAAGAACCACGCGTTGCTAAAGAATATTTGGAAGCTGCAGAAATGATTCTCGAAACGATGAAATTGTTGCCTCAGTAAATATCGATATTAATACAAAAATAATAAAGGTGATAATTTTCTAATTATTAAATGTAATGTTTCAACAGAGGACCGCCCATCGAAGGGAAGTACGAACAGACAATGGCGGACTTCCGGAAGGCCATCGAGTATGGCAATAAAAATATCTGCCCACCCGAGTACACTTGCAAAAAGGAAAATATCAAGAACTTTTTAAGAGAAGAACGAACATCATCGTAAGAAATATATTATAAATCACGAATTATTGTTACTTGTGTACTTCAGATGCATTCAGTTTAAACACACACTTTGTACATACATACTACACGTACACCACGCAATATGTACTATTATTCGTTTATATATATAATATTTAAGTAACATGCAATGAAATTCTTATATCATAAAACCACTTACCTTATCTCCTTCCATTCCTTTGTCGAAAAACAGCATCCAATGAAGATTTAAGTCCATGTTGGCTTTATCCAAAAACTTAGGTTACTGTAAAAATATAATTGTAAATTAGTTTTAGAACTAATCAGTTTATCAGCTGTAATAGAACGTTTTTAGATATTGAATATTATACCTGTTATTTTGAACATTATCTTGTTATATTACGTCAAAAAGAAACTACGCACTCACGTCGAAACTTGTTTAAAAACTAACTAAACCTTCTCGAATCGCCGTCAGAGGTCAGATCGATGTTAAATACCAAACCTAAACTGAGAATACAAGCGGCGCTGACGATCAAGTTTTGATTTTCGCCTATTCACGCCGTTGACGCATATAAACAATTTTTCTTACAACAAATACGTCAGTATTTATATTTTAACGAGTGAATTATGAGTTCCATAGGTACAGGGGTAAGTACCTACAGTATTATCGAGAAATACATGTTACAGAAGTAACTGTGAGCAATAGTAAGAATCTAACCTCCTTTGAATTTCAGTATGACTTGTCTGCCTCTCAATTTTCACCGGACGGACGGGTGTTTCAAGTTGAATACGCTCAGAAAGCTGTCGAAAACGGAGGGTGAATATTGAATTGATTTTACTTAAGGTTTTCCTTTAAAATATTGTTCAAGTGTTGTTATTTAACCTCTCACAAATGTCTAAGATTTACTTAAACTATTTGCTAATAGTTTTATTCCTGTTCATACTCCAATTTCACTTACAGAACAGTCATAGGATTACGCGGAAAGGATGGCATTGTATTTGCAGTTGAAAAGATAGTTACATCAAAGCTCTATGAGCCTGGCACCAATAAAAGAATATTCAACATAGATCAGCATGTTGGCATGGCTGTTTCTGGTTTGATTTCTGATGCAAGACAGATTGTAGAGATTGCAAGAACTGAAGCATCCAGTTATAAGTCTCAGTATGGAGTTGGTATTCCCTTGAAGTATTTGAATGAAAGGGTCTCCATGTACATGCACGCGTACACTTTATATTCAGCAGTAAGGCCTTATGGCTGTTCTGTGATTATTGGTGCTTATGAGCATGATGGGCCTACCATGTACATGATAGATCCTTCTGCAGTATCATATGGATACTATGGTTGTGCTGTTGGTAAGTATGGACTCTACAATTGAATTTTATAGCACTTTTAACATGTTTAAATAAATCTTTTAACATATTGATCTACAGGCAAAGCAAAACAGTCAGCCAAGACAGAAATCGAAAAGTTGAAGCTATCAGACATGACCTGCAATGATTTAGTCAAAGAAGCGGCACGTATCATCTACCTCGTTCACGACGAATTAAAAGATAAACAATTTAAACTTGAAATGAGCTGGGTAGGCAAGCATACAAATGGAAGACACGAGTGTGTACCAGCGGATATAAAGGCCGATGCCGAAGCAAAAGCCAAGCAGGCAATGGCAGAAGATTCAGACAGTGACACAGAAGATATGTAAATCCATACGAGATAGCTCTAAAGATATTTTATATTGTAAATTATAATTTAAGTACATAAAAATTGCTAATACAAAACTCTTCTCTATTAACGAATATGCTGAATAAAAGATGACTGTTGTTTACAAAATTAAAAAATTGCATTTATTTATTTTCGAACCCTCATGAACCCCCATCGAAGAAAATCGTTACGTATGTCGCAAATTTTGTATCCCAATCACTGAGTAACGTAACATTTTGATCTACAAAAAAAGAACCAATTGTGTTTGCTTTGTTGCACAGTTATCCTTTAATCCACGAGTAATGAGTATGATCCTTTGAACCATTAATAGGATTTAGAAAACTTCTCCTTTTTCCCTAACTAACGACCGGATCGAATCGATAAGGTATGGTGAATAGAAAAGTAAAAAGAAATTCAATTTATTAGAAGAAATCATGGACCATATGATCTATTATAAAAATCCCACATTTCTTCTATTGCAATCTAATTTTACCCCGTTCCACTACCCTAATTTTCCCCCACAGAAAAGGTCATCACCCAGAAATTTAATTCATCGACATTAAAAAATAGGATCATAAAAGGGAACAGGTCCCTAACTAGATCATCTCGTGATCATCAGGGAGGATGACGTACATCTACCATGGAGTTAAACGGTTCAGGAGGATCTCGCGCATGCTGTTTTTCCGCTTGCCAAGAGGGTTGGTGTACCCTGCCACGCTAGAGACTAGGTACAGCCAGAAGAGAGAGGGTAGTGTCAGCCGGGTTATATAAGGGTAGGTAGACTTTGAAACTTCGCCACTGGTTTTGATTGATGCACGCGGTCAACTTTTCGTATCTTTGCCACGTGGAGAGAAAAGTGTCGCTTCGCCACGTGGTGGTTTCTTGATTTTGAACATTGTTAGGGCGCTATTTATAAAAAAAAAAAAACAATGTCTTTAAATCGTAGTACCGTGGTATTGAAAGATAGCATCGAGGAACAGATCAGTCCTGTGGTGTACGTGGGTGCCGCGGTTGGTCTTGGTTTCATCGGCTTCTTCGGCTTTACCATGAACCTTCTGGTGGGACTGGTGATCGTCAAGGATGCACAGGTCCTCTGGACACCCGTGAACGTTATCCTCGTTAATCTTATTGTAAGTGTTGTATTTTTTAAATGAAATTAATTTAAAATAATGTAGCTGAGCTATAGCTGAAGTTTCATGGAATTTCCTAAGGTATTGTGAAAGCGTCTAATAAACCTATTGCAATTTAATTTTATCTATCGTCTTCGAGGAATGGGAATCACATGCGATACGTGGAATTTCGATTTTGTAATAACCATGGAAAATGTTAAGGTTCATGCATGTAATTGGATAATTCACACGTGATAAACCATTACGTTGCATTCCGTGTGCTATTTACATGTAAATATATGTAATTCTTTATTGCGCTTAAGATTTAATGATGACACACTTGGTGTGTCTTACGTTATTAAATGCTGACGCACCCGATGCGTCCTATGTACAAATTGTAATTTGTCTCGATCTTTGGGTTAAATTTTCGTTTAACGAAATGATGCTTGAAATAATTAGATTTAGGTTTAATTGCAACGTTTCAAATGGGTCAAGTTAAGTTCCCTGTTAAACAAGGAGCCGACCCAAATCTTGGTTTAATTTTAATAATTCAAGTCCTCTCCACGTTGCAATTTGCTCACCAGATTTCGCGCATTGTACTCGGAACACCTACAAATATGGTACATTTATTTATTTATCGCTTAAAGCATCGAAAAAATCTTAGCAACGTACCGGAAGAAAGAACGCTAACTTTCAGTTAAATTACAAACGAGAGAGCAATTACAAACTAAGCACTTTCGTTGCGTTTAATTACTGTTTGCTATGCGATATCGAACCAGAGTAATTTGCAAAATCGTTCATTAAAGCCTTTCTAAGTTTAGTAAAAAAATAATATTTTCTTTTACATTAGAATTTTCCACCGAGTTTTTTAGAATGTGAAAACAGAATGATTTAATAATAATTCTTTTTAGGTAGGAGATTTTTTGGTAGCATCTCTTGGAAATCCAGTCGCCATGGTATCAGCGATCACTGGAGGGTGGTACTGGGGCTACAAAGTGTGTCTCTGGTATAACTTATTATTTATTAAACTAATATTATACAAAACAGTTCACTTTCCTGTGTTGCTTCAAAGAATTTATTCCATTGATTATTATTTCTTTTTCAAGTACTCTGTACAAGTATTACTTTTGATATAAAATTTCTACTATTCCACGATCTTTCTTTACTTCCAAGAATTAATTTATCTCGATCTTTTTACAAACACTGTTTTTAGTGCCGATCAGTTAGTGTACCTTTCTCTGTACCAATTTGTCATCCTTCTGCTTCACCAATTTCTTTTTAATTAGACTGACCAATCTGTTTGTATTTTTCATTATCAATCAGTGTCTTTCTATCTCCCGCAATTTTTTCTCTTTTATCGAACCTCTCTTTGTCCCCCTTTTCATTATTTTTTCCAATCAAATTCAATCGCACGCCATTTTCTCCCGTTCAATTAATTTATCTTACACTGCACCAACCCATTTTCACCACTGTTCTGCTTTTTTTATTCCTCTTCTCTTTTTTTTGTTTGGTCAATTACTAATAATTAATATACTGAATTTCAAGTACCGAGTAACAAGAAAACACACTTTACTAGACGAAGAAGTGAAGATTCAAAGTTAAACTAAATATCAAAGAACAGCGTTTCCAATATCTTGATAGCAACTTATTGAACTTTAATTTTCAATTAATCTCCGGCGTATCGCTTTGAAACGGGAACAACATGATTTCCCGCGAGACTTTCCACTGGGTATCACCACTGTGTATTTTTCCATTTTTCGTTTCCGTGGTTATTAAATCAATGAAAAACCATTTCACCAGACTTTCGATTGCTTCAACGCGGTAATTAATATTTGAATTAATGTTACGTTAATTTCGTAAGGTAGGAAATGAAAAGTTTAAATTAGAAACTATAAAAATACATGGCGCAATTTTACTGCACGCCTCGTGAAAGGAAACTAAGTTTTCATATTTTTATTAATTCAAAGGTACGCCTGGTTTATGTCCACCCTGGGATTCGCGAGTATCGGAAATTTAACCGTAATGGCTGTGGAAAGGTGGTTGCTGGTCGCCAAACCTGTGAATGCCTTGTCTATAAGGTAAGAAACGTTCAACTTACTTTTTATGTGAACTGTCCCCTCGAGAAAGAAAAAGTAAAAGATGAGGATCACCGATCGGTCACCTGAATCGTGGAACGAACAGGTGTTCCGCTCCAAAAAATTTCGCTAGCAGCCACACGTGCGTGAAAAAATTATGAAAGAAATGGATCGTAACACTTGATCCTTCATCCCCTATAATAATTCCCGATGCAAAATGTCAAAAGTTTACCATTTCCGCCCTTTTCATACCATAAAATTATAAAAGATTATTTATGAATCCTATGAAAATTTGGTCGACTGTTTGTATTTTTTTTTTTTTTTTTTTAATATCAGGATAAATATTGCGTCCACCTTGTAACAAAGCAGAGAAATAAATCTCAAACCGCAAATCACGAT